TCAGCCTCAAAACTCACGTCTACATGTCACCACAGTAGGACAAACCGACAGACAAGTTTGTCCTGCTGTTGGAGACCTCTCGTATCACCCCCACCTGGCTGACTGTTCCTCTGTCTGGCTTCCTGGCTTTTAATCCCCTTTCTCCTACTCTTCTGGCCTGCTTCTTTGGGCGTCCCGAACTTAGACAACTTGTCTCTCCTCACCTGTATCCCTGGGGCTGATTGCTCTTCTGTCCGGGTTCAAGGCTTTTATCCCCTTTCTCCTGCTCTTCTGGCCTGCTACTCCCATACATAAAACCTCTATTTAACCAACAAAAATCTCCATTTCAGAAAAACAGTAGCAATGGAAAAAGCAATGCTCCAACTGTAGAGCAGAATTCCTGGGTGGTACCAATGGTTAACGGGCTCAGCAGCTAAACAAAAGGTTAGTGGTTTGAGTTCTCCCAGAGACGTCTTGGAAGAAAGCCCTGGCCATCTGCTTCTGAAAAATCAGCCACTAAAAACCGGAAGGAGCTCAGTTCCACCGACACACATGGGCTGCCCTAAGCAGGAGTCGGCTGGAGGGAAAATAGCTTTATAGCGTCTTGGCCCCTGAGGGCAGCCCTTGCCAGCAGGTGATGCCTGGGCCAGCTCCACTAATTGGAGCCCAAGTCAGCATCATCCTTCCCCGGCATCTGAACATTTCTTCCAAGTGGAGGCAGAAGCCAAACTGGAAGAGCTACGATCCCCCACTGGCACGCCTAGGGCACCTGGGTCTTCAGGCCTCCCTCCCTCCCCAGCCAGCACCTCCTTCTTGTACTTAACTCAGCGTCACAGGCCATTAGTGCTATTGTACTGCGGACTGGTTGGGAAGGAATCATTTTCAAACACAATGAGAGCTATTTTAATTCTATCATCATCATCATTATTGCTGTAAGGGAAGACAAATCCAGGGTCTCAGGCAGCCCCTGGGAAGCCTGCTCTGGGATTGGATCCCTGACAATGTTTGGATGAATTAAAGGGAGCGGACTGCAGCAACACTGCCTGCGGGGATGTGCAGCCGGGCTGCCTGCTAGGACCAGGCACACGGCCACTTCTCTTTTTATTTTTAATATCACCTCTGCTCTTTTTTCTTACTCATCTCATTTCTTATCTTTGGCCAAGATATTTTAAAATGACTAAATCTCCATCCCTTTTAAGCCCTGAGAAATTCATGTAAGTTTCTTTCCCTCTCTCCTTTTGGGAAAAGTGCGCTATGTCTCTGGGAATAAATTCAGTTTCCTCCTGGGGGCCTACTAAGCTGCCTTCACCCTCTGATAACCTCTGTAATGAGATGGGAGCATGTCTCGCCTCCTGGGTCTGACCTTGGCTCAGGGACAGGACTGCTGAGTGACCATGTAGCCCAACCCTCCGAGTATCGAGTATCTTGTCTGCATTGGGACAACTGGACACTGAGGGCTCAGGAGACTTCCGAAGTATTTGCGGACAAGGGTGTGCTCACGGCACCACCTATTGACATTTTCTGGAAATGCCCATTTTTAGCAATTTTTAACAAATGGATAGGACTCTGGTGCTGCAGCAGTTAAGGCATTTGGCTGTTAACCAAGAGGTCCGTGGTTTGAGTCCAGCAGCCACTCCTTGGAAGAAAGATGAGGCAGTCAGCTTCTGTAAAGATTTACAGCCTTAGAAACCATATGGGGGCAGTTCTACTCTGGCCTTTAGGGGTGCTATAAGTAAGAATTGACCTGATGGCAATGGGTTTGGGGTTTGTTTTTTTTTGCATAGTGTCCTATTATTCACTATTCAATTACTTGAGGTAAATGGGAAAGGTAGCTGAGGAGAAGTCTGGCTCTGTTTTACAAAGATGTTCACAGAGAAAAATGATGTCAATAATACTGACACACACTGCGTGTTCATCACGTGCAAGCCCTGTTCACTTCAAGCTCACTTCATCTTCTACACAACCAATGAGAAACGCAGCTATGACTGTCCCCAGTTCACAGATGAGGGGACTGAGGCACTGAGTCATTTTGAAATGTGCCCAGGTCACAGAGTAAGTGATGGATCCCAGCATCCACATTGTCAACCCCTCCTCATCCCACCTTGGGAGGCTCTGCTCTGTCTTACTTGCCTGGCCCTGCTGGTTCCATCAGACTCGCTTTTGCCTTAACTCTTGCTTACCTCATCCTTGAGGTGGTACCAGAGGTGGCTGGCTAACTAATGATCCAGGGAACTCTTGTTTGGGTCAATATGGTGCTATTGTCCCATCCAGCCTCCATAGTGACTAGCTTGGGTTCTGTCTCTTTTAAATGTCCCCAGATAAGGGATGGTGCTCACCTCAGAGCTTTGAGCCCAGTTCAGAACAGTTCAGTCACTGCCACTGTAAGTAAGGGCTGCATATGCATAGCAACCAAATCCCTTGCCCATGATGTTTTGTTCTGAGGAGGAAACAAACTGCTACACCTCACTCAAAGATGGCGGCTGGCTGTACCACCTTGAACATGTGCTGTTCTGCAGACTCCTGCCAATTGTGTTGCTCTCCAAAAGCTGTGCCACAGTCCTTCCTCCTGAAAGTTTCAGGAGCCTGATTCAGATGATTGGATTACTGGCAGGACTCTGGAGAGATCTGGTTGCTATGCAACACATACCCGGCCCTTGTCTGCTATAGCAATTATGGAACCATTTTGAAGCCCTACCACCACTGCGTAGCTAACACCTACCAGCTGGGCTGAGTGAGGATGGCATCACATCAGGCAGCTGGCACAGGCTTCCCTCTCAGCGAGCAAAGCCATGTGCAGCCACTCTTTCCCTTTCCTCCTGCCAGACCTCCCAGGGGAGCTCCCCTCTCCTAATACTTTTCAGGGGATCTGAGTTCTAGATGCTTCAGGGGTCACTGGAGTTTTGTTGAAGCTATCAGCTTCCCATGGGCATGGGAGGAATTGTGTCCACTGCTCCTCTTGTGTCTTCTGTAATAAGCAATACTCTTAGGACAGGCCATAACACATCAACCACATCCTCCTCCAGCTGCAGTTTACTGGGAGGTACATCCTACCTGTTTGTCTGGCAGACGCCATGATAGGCCTCAATAGCATCTTCCTGGTCCACGTGCTTTTCACTGTTAGGCCAACTGGTCCTGGCATTAATGTTCGGCTCCTAGGTGGCCCCAGATAAAAAATAAATAACTCTGGTTACACACACAGTTGTCACAAAAGGACTTCCTATACATACAAAGGCCCTGGGAAGACCTCAAGGAGCTCTGGTGGCATAGTGCCTAAGGCATTTGACTGCTAACCAGAAGGTTGGTGGTTCAAACCTACCAGCCACTCTGTGGAGGGAAGACTGGGCAATCTACTTCCATAAAAACTTACCACCTCAGAAACGCAAAGGGGGTTGCTAAGAGTTGGAATCTACTTGATGGCAGTGAGTTTTTTTTGTTTGTTTTTTTAATTTGAGAAGACCTCAGATAATGGCAGTTGAACCCAAGCAGGGGTGTGGCTTTATTTATTTATATTTTTAGGAATGTGACTTTCAAAGGTCACACTGGAAGAGACAACAGAAGGACAAGGCCCAGCTGTGAAAGACAGGGAGTGAGGACCAGGAGGGGGATGAAGAGGACATTGTCCTCAGGAGGAGAATGCACCCTGAGTTCAGAGGACACAATTAAAAGTGGGCATAGTTTTAATCCTCCACCCTCATGTTGCCCCAGGGCCCAAGCCCAGAAGTGGCCCAGTTGGCCTACGTCCCTCCCTCTTGCTCCACAACCTGTTCCAGAAGATGAGGACATTAGGAACACATGTTAAGCTGAACTTGCCATATTGGGATGGCTGAGAGATGAGACAGACTCTCCGCCACAGAGACTTAGTAAACAGCAAGTGGGACAAAGCATGAGGTGAAAAACAGGGCTAGGAGGGCTGTTCAGCCATAATCCTTGTTCCTCCTTGAGGCCGCCTATCTAATTTTGTGCCTTGTTCCTTTTGAACCTGTTCATATTAAGTCACTTCAGAAGATTCTAGAAACTTCCAGCTAAATCTTCCAGGAAAGGCCACACTGAGAGAACTACAAGTCCCTTGCTCTGTCTTCACAGGGAATCCCAGAGCAAAAGAGTCTGCTCTTCCAGGTTCACACCCTCATTGGTAAAACACCAACTTACTACCCAGTGTCATTGCTAACACCCCAACTGCTGGTGGCCATCTTGTTACCGTGCTCTTGCCAGCCAGTCGGCGCTGGTCGGCGCTCACGATCTGGGTCCTGAGGATGAGCACCTCTTCCTTGCGAACCTCAAGCTCCTCGTTGGCCAGCTTGAGCTGGTTCAGCAGGAGGCTGTAGCTGTCTGGGGAGCTCTGTGTGGAGTTATTCTGCATGGCTTGGTCAGCAACAGCCTTCCTCAGCTCGTTCAAGTCATTCTTCAGCTTCTTGTTCTCAGACTCCAGCTCCTGCCTCTGGAAGACAGGTGAGTGACCCTCCATTACTCCCTGATCCAGGACACTCTCTATCTTCGACCAACGTACCCTGTCCTCTGGGGAAGCTAAGAGCAACCTTCCCATTTTTATGATGAAACTGATGGCAAAGAAGGGAAGGAGTTCTGACTGGCATCAACAGGCAAAGCTGGAGCCTAGGTTTGAACCCACAATGTCAGGTTATTGGTGTGAAGTATCTGACTGGATACCTCCACAGTGGTGGTGTTGGTAGGTGCAGTTGAGTCCATTTTGACCGATAGTGACCTTATGTGACAATAGAACACAGGGTTTTCTTGACTGCAATCTTCACAGGAGCACATCATCAGATCTTTTTCCCACGGAGGCACTAGGTGGGTTTGAATCTCCAACCTTTCCATTAGCAGCCAAGTCAGGTACTTAACCTTTGTTTGTACCACCAGAGATCCTTACCCAGTAGTAGCAATCCCCCATGTCTGGAGAATACAGATTCTACGTTAGTGTTTCCAATCTTACTTGTCCCTGAAAACTCTTTTTCATGGACTTGCTGGGTCAACAATTTTAAATAACAGGGAGGCAGGCAGACAAGACACATCCAGGTACAAAGGCTCTAACAAAAGGAGAGATAGCAGGGCTCAATCAGGAAGGGCAGTGGTGCAGAGAGCAGAGAGTGCATAGCACAGAGGAAGAGAGAGGTCAGGTGACTGAGGGATCACAAGGAGCTGTGACAGCCTTGGAAAGGGAGTTAGATTTTCTCTCAAGAACAGGGTACCAATTAGGGATCTTCAAAGGGCAGTCACCTGCTTACCAGTGGCCTTCAGAGCCATCTCTCCAGCTGCCATGGGGAGACTGGGCATCTGCCTGGGGGAGGCAAGAGTGAGCTGGCATGAGCCATGGCAGCAAGAGGTGTGGAGACACCTTGGGGATTCAGAAGGTGAAGCTGTCAGGACTTGGTGACGGTTTGCACGTGGGAGGTGAGAGGGGAGGAAGAGTCTGGGATGCGTGGGCAACGAGTGAGACAGGTAAACTCCAGAAGGGGTTTTAGAGTTAAGATCCACTGAGCTGTGGACATGTTGAGATCATGGTACCCAGGGCACAGGGAGGTCCAATGGGCAGTTAGAAATATGGGCCTAGGACTCAGGAAGAAGAGGTCAGCTGGGGAGAGATCAGCGTGCTGATGACGATGGATATTCCGGGAGAAGGTGTGTGAGGGAAATCACTCAGGTGGAGAATCAGTGAAAGCAACAGCAGGTCAAGGTTTTAACTTTAGTTAAAAAAACCCCACCACTTTAAAAAAAAAAAACAAAAAACACTGCCATCTTGTCAATTCTGACTTATAGCAACCCATTGGGTTTGCAAGGCGGTAAATCTTTACAGAAGTAGACTGCTCCATCTTCTTTCTGTAGAGTGGCTGGCGGGTTTGAACTGCCAACTTTCTGGTTAGCAAGCAGTCAAATTCTTTAGGCACTGCGCCACCAGACCTCCTTATACTCCTGGAGTGTACCCCATAAAGCTGACCATTGTAAAGCAGAACATAGTTCACATAGCAACGTTAGGGGCTGCACAATTTTGAATAAGGGATAATTTAATTCTATGCAGGATCAACAGTATACCACAATTTTATAACTTGATAATATTTCAAAGCAATAAACCAGATTCGTGATCCATAAAATAAGGTAATTTGTGGAACCTTCTCAGTCTAACAAACCAAGCTGTCATCAACAGTGACCAATACAGTTTACTTTCTTAAAATTATGCAGAATTGTGATGGAATGGTTATAGATAGGCCAGGTCTCTCGCTCAAAGAAAGAGCTCCTTTCATCATAGTATTATTTATTTATAATAGTAAAATATGGGAACAATTAAAATATTAAGCAATTATAATTTTTTATAATTATGTTATAAAATATTAACCATCCATTTAAAATCATGTTTAGGAAGTGGGAAGAGAGCTGTTATATTATGGGGATTGCAATCAATGTCATGAAACAAAATGTGTATGAACTGGTGTATGGAAAATGAAATTGCTTTGTAAATTCTCACCCAAATCATAATAAAAAATAAATAAGTAAAAATCATGTTTACAAAGACCTGGTACTATGGAAAAATGCTTGCTATATTAAGTGAAAGAAACAGAATATAAAACTCGTGTGTGTGTGTGTATGGGGAATCCCTGGATGGTACCAACAGTTAAGCTCCTAACTACTAGTCAAAAGGTTGGCGGTTCAAATCCACTCAGAGAAGCGGCCTGAAGACAGGCCTGGATCTGCTTCTGAAAGGACACAGCCTTGAAAATCCTATGAAAGCAGTTTTCTTCTTCATACACAAGGTCACCATGAAACCTACTAGATAGAAACTAACAACCACCTTATACCTATATAATCATTATCTCAGCTATATAAATAGCATGCATAGAAAAAGCACTGGAAAGAAATACCCAAATAACTTCAAAGGTATCTTCAGGTAGTAGGAACACAGATGTTAAAAATTCTTTAAATTTTCCTATATATAAAAAAATTTTTTTGAGAATTATTTTAATAAATTTACAACTAAAATGAAAGACTTTTCTTTTAAAAAGGCATATTAATACTTTGATGAGTAGCAACTGGGACTTTAAAAGGCTACAAACGGCCATCTAAGATGCAATCATTGGTCTCTCCTTGCCTGAAGCACAGAAAAATAAAGAAAATCAAAGATGCATGGAAACAATTAGCCTAAGGGACTGGTGAACCACGTGCACTTCAGCCTACATGACCCTGAGACCAGAAGAACTAGATGGTGCCCAGCTACCACTGTCAACTACTTGCAAAGGGATCAATGTATGGAATCCCAGATAGAGTGGGGGAAAAAATTGTGGAACAAAACTCAAAATCATAAAAAAAAAGACCAGGCTTCCAGTCTGAGAGAGACCAGTGAAATTCACGAGACTGTGGCCTCCAGACACCTTTTGGGCCTGGAATTGAATTCAGTCCCATGGTTTAACTCTAAGCCAAACAACAGACAGGTCAATAATTTGAACATTTACACCATATAGGTACATTGCTTAGAACAATCAACCATGGGAGATCAGAAGGCAGCACTTGCCCAGGGAGATAGTTCAGAGGGCACAAATGCACAGGAAAGAAGGGCATAGGGAGGCAGCTGGAAGACAGCTGTTACATTATGGGCATTGCAATCAATGTCATGAAACAATGAATATGAACTGTTGAATGGAAAATGAATTTGCTCTGTAAACTTTTGCTTAAATTGCATGCACATACACATACACACACACAGGAACATCAAGGGAACAGAAACAAAAGCATAAACCAAAAGAACCTCCTCAGCTGGGTGTTTTCTGGTTCACGCTCAACACCAGATAAGCCACGGTGCAGCCAGGTCAGTTAGGTGCCAACTTGGCCTCCCAGCTGCTCCACCCCAACTGGCGGTGTCCTCCTCCTAACTCAGCTCTGACTCACAGCAGACGGATAAAGAAAACACCAAGGCTACCACCAGCCTTGGGCAGGGTCTGCGTCCTGTCCAGCTAGCTCCCAGGTTGGCAGTAACCATGGCTCCTTGTAACCACCCAGTCTGCTCCTCAGCACATGGCAGGCAGCAGGTGTGGCGAGCTGCTCACCTCAGTGGCCCTCAGCCCTGCTCCACTGCTCTCAGCCTCTCCACTGCCTTCTGACACTGGCCTAGGCTCCTGACCTCTCCAGGGAGCCCCATCACCCACCCCAGCCACACAGCTGCAGGTTCCGGGGACAACGCTCTGCCAGTTGAGACCAGCCCCAAGGACTTGTCCATTTGATGTAACCCCACAGGTGGCACCTCCAAGCCTTGCACGTGGCACCCGAGCGATGTGCCTCCTCCCCAGAGCTGGGGGGCTGCACACATTACAGGGGGATACGGGGGATACTTCTAAAAGGCTGGTTGGGGAAACCCAGAGTTCAAGCAAAAACCATTCAACATAAGGGCCTTTCCAGTGTAGCCTCATCTCAAACCCAACTTAAGGATCAAGGATAAGGATCAAGTTGGAAAAGATCTGAGTAGCCCAGTGTGTAGCTTATCATCTATAGCAGATCTCTGTCTTACCTGCTCAGGTAGTCTATACTTTTGGAGAAAGAAGTGCTCTCCCACCTCCCACCTCTTCATATGCCTCCAAACATTCACAGGGCTCACTAAATATGGGTTGGTTGGTTTTATCTAAAATTATTTGTCAATTATTATGAAGAAATACAAAGTAGGTGGTATCCTGCTTCTCTGAAGGTCAGGGGCTGGGGCTGGAAAAGTGAGAAGCACTTTAGGGTGACTTTAAGACCAGCCACCCTCCCAGACATTCGTCCTCCTTACAGCAGGTGGCGCTAAACTCGGGGGTCTCCAGGACCAGTCTCTGCTGGTCCACAGGGTAAGAGC